GATTAGCTCTAACCATCCATTAGTTAGTCCCCTCTCGGGGATAACTTCCAATTCCAACATCCCCTCCTCACCCCTTCTTTGTTGATGTATTTAAGTATACGACAAAACACGGAAATGTATGGAATATCATATTATGTCATCATGAACAACCACTACATGTTTTAAAGTTTAAATAGTCTGTTAGTCTTGTATGCAAGTTTGGTGTGCGAAACTAATAAAAATTTTGGACAAAAATTATTAAATTTTTACGGGTGAAAAATCCTAGTAGTGTCCACAATAGCTTTAATGTACATTACGTCTTCTTTCACATATGATTCATTGTCAAGGATTTTTAACTCAGCAAACTTGGGACACCCAGAGGCGATATTCATGTCTGATTTTGGTCTCTGGAAACTACTGGAACTGGGAGATGGCTTGAAAGTTTGCACAATGTGCCTCTTGTGGTCTTGATCCACCATGATTAAAGACACCTTATAATCAAAGGGCCACTTCAATAATGGATCATATTCACCTATAGAGTGCAAACGTGACAGTCAGACAAATTCATTTGATGGAAAATTGTCTGAAGCTAATATTCATACAATGCAAAACAATGAAAAATGAATCCTCCTTTTAATGAATAATGCATATTTAGTTCACTCTTTACACTTAAAATTATTTTTAAATCTAGAAACCATTTTATGGTTCTTACCTTTCATCAAGACGAAAAAAATGGATAGATGTGTATTATATCCGATTCCATTTCCATTGAGATAGGCACGAATACACATCTTATAACCATTTCGTCCAGTGTAGAAAGGTGGAGTACAGATTGACGTGGTTTTCCCTTCAATCGCATCTCTTTTCCTTCGTTTGACGTCAGGTATACGCCACAAGAATGAGCCATTGTAGGTAGAAGCAAGAGAAGCTTGTAATTGTAATTCGAGCTCTGAAAAATGAACTTTCAACATCCCAGACGTCCTTTCCTGCTCTGCTAATTTGTGCTCGATTGATCCTACCATTTTGCTATCACTTGTTGACATGTCGTCATAGCCCTGGTTAAGAGGACGGTAGCTTGCTCCAGATTCGACCTTACTAACTCTTTCAGCTAGTTGTGTAACTCTTTCTT